GATTTATTGACAGGTAAATTGGAATATATGAAAACCCTCTCCCACGATGGCCACAGTGAACGCAACAGCTATTTTTAACTGTAATTGGAGACATTTTATCTGGAGGGTAAGAAGCAGTAATAGGTGAGTGTTACGAACCCCTCCACCAATTGTCATGATCTACCTACCCAGCACTACGAACCACGCCATCTATTGTCCTGATCAACCTACCCAGCACCACGAGCAACGCCATCTAGGGACGAGACACGAGTATGACTCGTCTTAGTTACCACTCCGGGGTTTCCCTTCTCCATATCCTGGTTGTTGCGTCACTTCCTCCAAGTCTTTTTTGTCAGCTCGAGTTCAAGGAGAGAGGACTACACTCTGGGAAGTGACCACAGGATCATCTATCCTCTAAACCTACGGCTCAGTGACTACCTACCGTCTTCTACAATACTCAGCCTTGCTCGTCAGCCATCTCAGCTCCTCACTTAAGTATTTGTAATCTTGTATTGCCTCTCCGACCTCCACCTTGCTTCACGATTGTTTTATGTTGTATTAATATGTATATACTGTAGTGGAATTCTCCCCTACAAACGCTGTTTGTCGCTGCCTAGCCGACCCCACCAATTCCCCAGTGTATGCCTCGTGGTCTAGGTCAACCAGCGCCGCCATACACCACGGAGCGGGGGTCAACTGCTAAGCCACGCCTACCCCCGCTATTTAAGACCTGACCTCGTGGTGATCTGCCTCTCTTTCTACCTACAGCCGCAGCCAGCAACACCACCTCCGCCGCTGCCTGGCGGCCTTCCCTCGCTCCTCCGCCTGCCTGGCGGTCCTCTCTCCCGCTGGCGAGCATGGCGACCCACAAGCTGTCCTTCTCTGAGCGTCCTCACCAACCAGCTCTCTCTACATCACGCTTGTAACCATGCTGCCTTCCCAGCACCAAGCTGCATTGTACATCCAATACAACATGTATATAGAGAGCACATTGTGAGTTTCCTTTCTCCATCCCATCCTGAGTGTGAACCAAACATCTCATACCCCACAATACTGTTAATGTTTAGGTTAAGTATGGTTAAGGGTAATTTATAGGAAGCTGATTATTTTGTTAAGGAATTCATGGTACTTTATTATACACAACGAAAACTCGCATCCTTTGTCTACCCTTTTATAGTCCGATTGTCTGGTTTTTTTTTATTGTTGCCTGTTGGGATCTGGGTAGACTTTTAACTATATTCTAAATCCCCAACTCGTAACAAATGGCGACCGTGACAGGACCCGACATTAAGTACCATATTCCTTCCTCCCTTGTAACTCCTTGTTAATTATTCCTCCCAGTCACTTCTGTTCACAATTGCTTTACGGTGGTTTAAAGTTTCCTTCATATGTGTGTGCATATATTGGTATTATCGTACAGTAAGAGTGACAGACGTAGGATATTAGGTTCCAAGTGTCATAAGGCTTACCTGTTATTACACGTGGCAGTCGTGTAGTAAGTCTTATCGAGTGTAGGGAAGAATCCGGATCTTTATATTAATCCCGTAATACACCCTTCCTGTTTACTCAGGGCTGTTAATCCGGATCTTATATTAATGCCGTAATACGCCCTTCCTCTTTCAAGTATCTCAGGGTTGTTAATCCGGATCTTTATATAAATGCCGTAATACGCCCTTCCTCTTTCAAGTATCTCAGGGTTGTTAATCCGGATCTTTATATAAATGCCGTAATACGCCCTTCCTCTTTCAAGTATCTCAGGGTTGTTAATCCGGATCTTTATATTAATGCCTTAATATGCCCTTCCTCTTTCAAGTATCTCAGGGTTGTTAATCGGGATCTTTATATTAATGCCGTAATACGCTCTTCCCCTTTCAAGTCTCTTATCCTTATCTAAGGATATTCTCAGAAGAACAATATTCAGAAGTGTAATTTCCCGAGGTAAAACTTGGTAGTCCTGGAGGAGTGGAAAAGCAAGATACCATTTCACATCTTGAAGCATGTGGAGGAGCGTGAAGAGGTTAATTTAGGGCGTGCTGCTGAGCTGGCTGATGAGTACGCCTTGCTGGTGGAGTCACTGTGCCGTAGGGAACGTGGTACTTCCCGACATGTTAGGTCCTCCTCTGATGATAACCTTGGGGGCGTGAGTGGTAGGTCGAAAGGTCCCACACCTACTCCCCCCGATGCAACCAAGCTTACTTGTTCTTACTTTAAAAACCCAGGCCATACAATCCAGACTTGTAAACACCCAAAGTGTCGAATTGCTAAAAGTAGTTCCCTGGATCCCAAATCCAAACCAATAGCAAATACCAATGTGGAAAGGCCCCATCAGGATCTCTTCTCTTCATTCACCTATGAGGGAAAAATTTCAATCATAGAGGGGTCTCGTTCTTTCCCTATTCGTATACTACGTGATACGGGCGCAGCACAATCTATCCTCCTGTTTAACGTCATTCCTGATATATCTACCGCATTTACTAATGAGAGTGTTCTAATTTCAGATCTCTCATCCCATTCTTCCTATCCTTTAGCTAAAGTGCACCTCCAATGTCCCTTGATTACTGGGGAAGTGCAAATAGCCATTAGGAAAGACCCAATGCCTGTGTGCGGCATTCATTTATTATTGGGTAATGACTTGGTAGGAGATCTAGTGGTTCCTCACATAAAGACAGTCGACTCTCCCTTACCTGTCAACTCCACCACTGACCTTAAAGAAACTATTCCTCACCTTTTCCCATCTTGTGCTGTCACCCGGTCACAGAGTGTGCGAAATGGGCCCTCTTCATCTAAAACCACCTCCAATATCTTCCTACCCACAGAAGATCTGTACAATAACACCATTAGTAAGGATGAGCTCATTAAAGCCCAACAATCTGATCCAACTTTGTTCAAACAGGTGATGAAAGACCTCAGTGTGGACCATTGTACATCTTCGGCTTACCACCCACACTCCCAAGGTTGCTTGGATCAGTTCCATCAAAACTTTCAAATCAATGCTAATAAACTATCTCCCCTCAACTATATAGTCCATACTCCTGATCGCAGGAAAGATTCACAACTTGTTCACATTAATCTCATGAAACTTTACCATTCCAGGCAGTCAGAGGAAGACATCCCAGAGGCTATAAGCCTACCTGTATTGCATACGGTTTTGTCAGGGCCGGAGCCGGAGACAGATGACATGGACCTATTGTAGAATTTAGACTTCCCTCTACCGATAGAAAACCCTGCTAACAGTCACATACTCAACAACTTGGAGGAGTATTTTTCTGTTCTGAATCCATCTCAAGCAAAAGATCTCACTCAGTTATTATCAACATTTCCTAAAGTCACCTCAGACCTCCCAGGGTTTTGCAATATACTTAAACATGATATTAAGCTAATCTCAGATGATGTACAACCCATTAGGCAATCAGCATATCGACTAAATCCACAAAAAAGAGAGATTATGAAAAAGGAGGTAGATTTTTTGTTAAAACATAACTTAGCTGAGCCTAGTACCTCCCCCTGGGCTTCACCTTGCCTTCTCATTCCAAAACCCGATGGCACTTTTCGTTTCTGTACCGATTATCGTAAAGTGAACCAGGTCACTGTCTCTGACTCCTACCCTTTACCTTTGATTGAAGATATAATAGACAGCATAGGCTGTGCAAAATTTATCAGTACCGTGGACCTGTTGAAAGGATATTATCAAGTGGGACTCACGGATAGGGCAAAAATAATCTCGGCATTTATAACTCCATTTGGTCTTTTTCAATATTTAGTTATGGCGTTTGGCTTTTCTAATGCTCCGGCCACATTCCAGAGGGCCATCAATTACCTAATTCAAGACCTAGGTGGGACGTTCGCCTACCTGGATGACCTGGTGGTGGTGTCGGACAGCTGGGACGAACATCTGGTGCGTTTGGAGCTACTGTTTGCACGACTGCAAGAGACTGGATTCACCATAAACCTGGCTAAATCTGCTTTTGGCCGGGCCTCAGTGACTTACTTGGGACATATCGTTGGGCATGGTATGGTGAGACCCAAGGACGCAAACGTTAGAGCCATCTTGTCCTTCCCCACTCCAAGGACGAGGAAGGAACTCATGCGCTTCCTGGGGATGTGCGGCTACTACCGTCGGTTCTGCAGTAACTTCTCCAGCGTGGCCGGACCCCTCACAGACCTTACCAGTTCTGCGGTCCCTTACATCTGGAACCAGAAGTGCGACCAGTCTTTCCACCGCCTCAAAGCCTTCCTTGCCTCTAAGCCTGTAGTCCACCCCCCTGACTACACCTTGCCCTTCCATCTGCAAATCGACGCTAGCGGTGTCGGAGTGGGGGCTGTGCTCCTACAACCCGACCCAACCACTGATGTCCTTCACCCTGTGGCATACTACTCCGCCAAGTTGAAAAAACATCAGACCAACTACTCGACCATAGAGAAGGAGGCCCTGGCTCTGGTGTTGGCAATAAAGAAGTTTGAATGTTACCTCCAGTCTTGCCCACAAACAACCCTAGTCTTCACCGACCATAACCCACTCACGTTCATCCAAACCAACAAGACCTCCAACCAGCGAATCCTCCGCTGGGCTCTCCTGACCCGTGTGACAGGTGGCCACACAATTATCGACATCCCACTAAAGTTAACTCTTGTGTAAGTCTGTGTACCTCCGTCCCGTCACGCCTCCTGGGTGTGACACAAAAGCTTTAGACATACACCTTGGGTGTAAACAAAGTGTATATTTGTTTCTTGGGTGTATATATGGAGAAGTGTAGACAAACATCATGGGTATAGACGGAATAGTGTATTATTTCTGCAAAGTGTATAGGATCAAGATTCTCGTCAGCATCACTCAAAGACCCTGCCAACACACGTCACGCATCATGACCATGAACACAAATCTGTACCTCTCCCCGTCCCCCTGGGGCTGTATAGGGAGGTACGGGAGGGCCCACGGGGTGTCATCTCCAGTAGGCCGTGGAACCACACCCAAGGAAACCCGGGTAGGAGAGAGGAATATAAGGCAGAGGCTTCGTCAGGTTGGTAGCGAGTCTTCCGCCATCAGTGGGTCCAGCTCCACCGTTTACCATGGCGCTCCCTGTAAGTTGACGAAACCTGATGATCTAGTACTCTAGTTATTGTGTTTTGGGGGGTTTCTTTTTACAGTATATGTATGTACGGTATGTATTCCACTCTGTCTAGCTGTCTGCCCCGATTACGTAGCACTTTCAATTTCCCAGATACATTAGTAAAATAACTTTGACACACACACACACACACGCACACACAACTCTATAATTTTCAAAAACTGTCTTATACACCTTTACTACTGATCATAATTTCTCCCATTAATCACCTATAATAATATACTTACATAAATAAACTCATACAGTATGTGTAATATGACGCTAAGGAAATAGTATCATGACGCTGTATACTAGTCTATGAGTTCAAGACTACTGTACCTATATTGAGGCTTTGAACAACATCGACATTTTCAAGACTACGGCTCATATGATAAGCTTTGTGCCTTAGTAATATTAGGGACAATAAGCCTCTTTTCTCTTAGAACTAAAAATGAATATTGTTACTGTACTTTGAGACGATACGAGGCCAAGACCTGGAATCTAAGAGGTTCATAAGATTAAATTTCCTCAGCTGGGACGATAGGAATTGGCATCTTAAGTTAAATACTAGATTGATGTCTAAGATGACATTATACTTAATGTAAAATTTTATCTCAACTAGTTACGTTCATATAATACATTTTAGGGAATAATGTATGTGGAATCTTTGTGACTATAGATACGGGAATTTAAGTAACTAACAAAATCTCTCTCTCTCACAGGTGCCAGTGACGTTGTGTTTGATGGTGGTAGTTCTGGTAGTGAGGGGGGTAGAGTGTGATCCAGGGCCTCACTACCATCACCATGCAGGCGAGGGCGTGGCCGTACATCCCGGAGGTGGTACATCCTACGTCCGTGGTGTGGGTAAGCGCTCTGCTGATCCTGGACCTGAACCTGAACCCGAACCCTTAGCCAGTGCCGAACCCCATAACCCGTATTATGGCTATCGTTATCCGTATTACGGTCACCACTATCTTCGCCGTTACGGTTACGGTTACCCTCACTCTCACTACCACAAGACGGTCCACAAGCACCACAAGCGTTCTGCAGACCCCTCACCATCTCCTGAACCCGAACCCGAAGCCTTAGCCAGTGCCGAACCCCATAACCCGTACTATGGCTATCGTTATCCGTATTATGGTCACCACTATCTTCACCGCCGTTACGGTTACGGTTACCCTCACTCTCACTACCACAAGACGGCCCACAAGCACCACAAGCGTTCTGCAGACCCCTCACCATCTCCTGAACCCGAAGCCTTAGCCAGTGCCGAACCCCATAACCCGTACTATGGCTATCGTTATCCGTATTACGGTCACCACTATCCTCACCGCCGCTACGGTTACGGTTACCCTCACTCTCACTCCCACAAGACGGCCCACAAGCACCACAAGCGCTCTGCAGACCCCTCACCATCTCCTGAACCCGAACCCGAACCCTTAGCCAGTGCCGAACCCCATAACCCGTACTATGGCTATCGTTATCCGTATTACGGTCACCACTATCCTCACCGCCGCTACGGTTACGGTTACCCTCACTCTCACTCCCACAAGACGGCCCATAAGCACCACAAGCGCTCTGCAGACCCCTCACCATCTCCTGAACCCGAACCCGAAGCCACAGCCGATCCTGAACCCCATTACAGATACCCATACCGCTACCATGGCTATCACGGCTATCCCTACCACTACTACAGACACTCATGGTAGGACAGCGGGTTCTCCCATGATCCCGCCGTTCCAGACTATGTCCGGTTCTCATGCCCGATAGTCCGGGTTCGCTCACCTGGTTTTTCGGACACTGATGAACCATCAAGGTTGATGATGATGCTGGCACCCCATAAGACTGTGTGAATCGTTTTCTTTGATCTTCAGTTAAGCACAAACTCAAATAAATCTTCATTGACTTGATAATTGGTGTTTTTCATGTACCTTGTGTGTCTGTAAACAAGTATAGTAATTATAGTGAGATAATGGATACTTCTTCATTTTTATAAACATATTTGGTGGTTAGTGATGTATAATGATTATGTTAACAACACTCTTTAAACAAATTCTACACTTCAAGAGAATTATATCATTATTTTGTATTTCTGAATAAAGAAACACGTTCAGCAACACCTTAGCAGAGAAAAATATTAATAAGTTTGAATATCTGCAAGTGTTTTTTTCCCATCAGGATCAGATGTTCATGATCTCTGGGGCGGAAAAAAAAATCCTGACCATTTTATGTAGGTAAGTCCTGTTTCAGACTCATTTAAACAACCAAAGGACAATCATAACTTTCTTAACTATATCCTCGACCCTCTCCCTATACCTTACAGGACCTGAAGGAAACTCGATACCCTTAGTTCAACATTACATTTCATTTTTTTCTTAAGGTCACAATATGTAAAATAATCTACAGTTAAAGGAAGAAGGTAGAATAAGACGGTAGTTATGTACTCGTGGACAAAAGTCATATCGCCTCTCCTGCTGCTACACGACCCCGGGGATTCAGACTCGTGGACCCGAAGCAATAAACAAAACAAAAGAAGAAAAGGCAACAGAGAAGGACGAACCATAATAGAGGAACAGTCGAAGAAGTATGAATGAAAAAGAAGAAGAAATGGTAGATAAAGTAGAGAAGAAAAGAGAAAAACACTTTAATTACCCGAGTGAGAAGTAGGTCAGTAGGGAAGGTGTAGCTTTTATACCTCACCCTCCTCACCACGATATTTACAAAGACTCGTAAGTTAAATGTTTCCCCTTAGCTACTGACGTGAGGATGTGTTTAACTGCCTCAGCTTACAACAACGGGTGATATGATATACAAAATGGCGTCGAAATTTCCCTGAGACTTCACTGTTCTATGATATTTAAAAAAAATCGTAGAATTATTATTATTTTTTTTACGTTATGTTAGTATGATTTATTGACAGGTAAATTGGAATATATGAAAACCCTCTCCCACGATGGCCACAGTGAACGCAACAGCTATTTTTAACTGTAATTGGAGACATTTTATCTGGAGGGTAAGAAGCAGTAATAGGTGAGGTAGAGGCATGCAGGAGCAGCAAGAGAGAGGAGGTAGAGGCAGCAGGGGGGAATAGAGGCAGTAATTGGTCAGGTAGAGGCAGGAGCAGCAGGGGAGGTATAGAGGCAGCATGGAGGATAGAAACAATCGCAGGTGAGATAGAGGCAGGAGCAGCACAGGAGGGGAGGTAGAGGCAGCAACAGAGGAAGTAAAAGCACTAGTGACGGGGGAGGAATTCAGCGACCCGTGGCTCCAGTATAGTCTCTTTGTATAGTGTTTTTGCCACAGCTCAACCCAGAACATAAAACGATAATTATACTCGTACAAAACCTGGGCTGGTTTGTGGGAGTCAGCTATCACATGAAGGTCAGGAGGGGTGTATATAACCCTCGAGGAACCAGGTTGTCTTCAGTGACTTCTACAGGAGTCGTCGGTGAGCACCCATACACAAGTCGGTGAAGACCCAGTGAACCATGAGACTAGCGGTAAGTCAACACAACTTAATATTACGTGTCTATAGTTAAGTGAAACATTGTACGACTGTATGTAAGTTTATACTGTGCATTATATGGGTGGTTATGGGTATGAGTGTGGTGGGAGTGGGGCAGATCTATGGGTTGGGCGCGTTGATGATAACAATTAGCCAACACCACAATTGACGATATCTCTTATGAATGTATAAGATTATTTTATGCGTCTTGATGTTGTAATCAGGGAGTTATATCGCCATTGTTTGCTTCACAGTTGGTTGTTGTTGTGAGCGTGGCGGCGGTAGCGGTGATGGGCCAGGACCGCCAGCCAGTGGTGGAGGGGGAACCACTCCCTCCTGTATATCTGAGGGAACTACCTCGACCTTGGGTGCTGGGAGACCTGCCACGTCCAGTGGTCGACGCAGAGATGCCCAAACCCTGGCTGCTTCGGGAGATGCCCCCTCGTCACTACTACCCCTACCGTCAATATCCCTACTACCCCTATAACTACAAGAATCTCCGTACCAAGAGCGAAGTCCAGGACGGCAAGGGTGTGGCGCTACACCCCGGGGGCGCCACATCCTTCGTCTTCCCCCAGGTCCATGGCGTGGGCAAGCGATCGGCTAAGCCTGTAGCAGAGGCAGCGGCAGACCCCGACTTCTCCTACGGCTACCACTCAGGAAATTTCTCCCCCCACCATCGCTACGGCCACTACAACCTCCCCTACCATAACTACCACAACTACGTCTACCACCACCAGCTCAACAAGCGGTCTGCCCGGCCTCAGTACAGCTACGGCTACCCCAGCGAGAACCCCCAGGATAGCCGCTACCATGGCTTCAGCTACAGATGGTGAGACACCAGCCTGTCCTAGGAGTGACGGGGACGCTGTTACCTTCCCCGTCAGCCACACACACCGTCACTCACCGCGACAGAGTCTGATAGGCCAACACTGCTCACATTGGTTTTTCAGACTCGACACATGTATCCCATCCAGTATAGAATGTATAATCAAAATAAACTTACCTTTCTCCATGTCGTCTTTGTTATTCACTATCCCTGTTATGCTATTAGTATTTACCATAGTCTAGCGTAACTCAGAGATCAATTTAAACAAGACTTCTGATGGAACTGAATTTGAGTAATTCTAAACCAATCTATAAAATTTATTGATATACAGTATATCTGCCAAAGGGGGAAGGCAGACATTAGCTCGTCCCAGTGACATCTCAAACATGACCCAAATTCGTAAATAAAATATATTTCTCGGTTTATATATTGGCGTTTATCAGGTTGTTATTGGGTAAGATTTTATAAGTGTAGACATGGTAAAGCCCAACACTCGTCAACACACACGACGTGGGAACACCGTACAGATAAACTCCCTCATATTTTGTGTGTTAGGTTACCTGGTCCACGCCCTCTGTGGGACCTACACGTCACTTGCTTACCTGTAATTTTTCTCACCCGTGTTTTTGCTCTCTGTGGGAGGTAACCTGGAATTAATGTATTATTATTATTATTATTATAAAGCTTCTCTCATAAATCATCAATCATTCCCCTCATTCATGTCATTTAACATTTTAATAATCGTTTATCCTGAAGGTCATTGTTACTGTAATTAAAATCCTACAATTCATATTATTTCTCAAACATCTTTATTTCCTGTCTTCTTCCCCCCTCCCAGTTCTGAGTCTCCACCCAGATTTATCACACTGCTTTAATAATTCCCCATAATTATCCCTTTGTCTTTCCCCTTCTTTAACTTTTTTTTTGTTGCTTCTGATTTCCTGTAATTTTCTCTTTTCTTTTAAGTTTGTTCCTGTTTTTTGCCTTTTTGTTGTGTTTTACTTTACGTTTCACAATATTGTATTCATCACGTTCGTCAAACTCTCTCTGTTAACATTATCAGGTAGGCTTTTGCGTATTATGGTTCCTTATAACTGTACACTGATCTGCCTTACACTGTTTACTGTTCTCCCTGTAACACTGTCTTGACTTAGATTATGTATCAAAGGGATATTTTTAGTTTTAGTTTAACAAATTCATTGGCAGAGCTTGTAGTACAGTTTGCCTATTCTGAGTAATTCAGTCAGGTCTTGACACTGAGGGTGGTATCACTTCTCACTGTCACGCAGAACAGAGGTTCATACACAAAGAAATACATCATATTCATTAACAGCTATAAATGTATAGAGGTCAGATTCATATGGGTAATGTCACTGTTCACTGCCATGCAGGACAGAGGTTCGTACACAAAGAGATGCATCAGGGATGGATGGTGTTGTTGATAAGATGGGAATAAATTAACTCAATTTTAAGTTCTTCTTCTTCTTCTTCATTTTATTTACTTGTTACGCTTCATAAATCCCTCTATTAAAATAAGCCTAAATTTTTGTCACAGTTAATATATTTTTTTCTCTTTATAGACGTGACAAAATCTCCAGGTAATGCCATTGCAATCAGTAAAGCAATTTTAAGTGTTTCTGTTTGATAAATCTACTGTTAACTTAGGTCTAGCCCTCCCCTCGTAAAATATCTCCCCCACTCCATACATATCACACACACACACACACACACACAGTCTTCCAAGCGATGTCATTGGCTCAGGTGGATGTTGTGTATCCGCCCACACGTGACGTCAAGCAGCACAGCCCCCACGCCGCTCCTCCATGCGCACCTCACCAATAGCATCTCATACTAGGCCGCGTCAGGTGTCTGTCTCATGATAACCTTGGTGTGGGGTAATGGTAGCTAGCCTTTATGGTCATATCCCCGCCCCTTAGCTTACGTGACGCTTGGCCTCCACGCCGCTCCTCTGCACCGCACCTCACCAACAGAGACCCATAAACACCTGCGCCTGAACCTAACGTCTACATTTTCTCACACATACAGGGAGAAGATTCTGTACGTTCTCTCTGGTGGTTTTAGGGGTAACTAAGGTCTGGGATTTTTATAGCTAACGTTGATAGTATTGCTTAAACGTAGAGGTTCTTTGGTAATATTCTTTCCCTTGGTTCAAATCTGGTGTTAAGTACGTGTAGCTTCTTGTGCTGTTCCCTCTGCATTACCGTGCGGTCTGGGTGAATAAATACATCCCGAAATGCCTCGCTCCTTGCTAAGTTTTTTGCCTGCCGGATAACTTGCCATTTTCCTCCTCACTCCCTAGTGTGATCCTGAGGGGGCGAGGCTTAGCCCCCTGCTTTTGTCCCAGTCTCCTCACATCCTGAGGGGTTGCTGGAATCTTCAGAACCTCTGTGCAAATATTTTGAAACAGCACCTTGTCGTGTGTTTCCTTACTCACAGTTCCCTCTGCCTGGCTCTCTGGGACTCCAAAAACTATAACATTGTTCCTGCGCTGGAGCCGTTCCTGGTGTTCCTCCTCTCCCCTAACAGTAGGTGCGTTAATTTTCATTTCTTCGACACACTTTTTCAGAGTCCCAATCTGCTGTAGAACCTGTACTGATTCTGCATTACTCTCCGCCCTCCCCCGTGGCCCTCCTAATACGTCAGCATAACTCCTCTTAGCAACCACCTCCATTCTATTAGCTACTTCCTCAGTCTTAGCAAGGATCTCTTTCTCAACTTGCTCCAGTTTGTCAACCAGCAGGGCTCCTGCTTCATCTATTTTCGTCCCTAGAGAACTCGTTCCCTTATGGATTGCAATCGCTTCATTCACCTTGACTATGCAGCCAGGGCAATACCAGCAACAGCCATCAAGCTTTACGGCAGTTAGTAACTTCCTAAACGTTGCATTAGTTAGGCCTGTATCCTCCATATCCGACGTCTCCCTGCAGTAATCACATATCAAACTCATGGTTGTTGTTGTTGTGGTGGGGGGGGGGGGTGCAGACTGTGTATAAATCTACACCTATTTCAAAGAAAATAAAGAGAGAAAAAGTACTTAGCTACTCTCTGTTGCCTATGGAGTTGTCGTCTGCGACTGCGTACACTGTATCTCCCTGTGAATGGTGTATTGTAGGCACAGTTTCAGTCCTTGAGAAAGCACACAATCAACATAAAATTTAAAGTCTCTGTGGCACCTATGACACGACTTGGTTTCAGCTGGCACGGTGCCTTTCCAGCTTGCTTGCTAGTTAGCGCTCACTTTAAGTTATTTACAACTTCAGCGGTCACTGATGACACTATGAACTATCACTGTGTACACTGTATCTCCCTGTGAGTGGTGTATTATAAACACAGATTCAGTCCTTGAGAAAGCACACAAACAAAATAAAATTTAAAGTCTCTGTGGCACCTATGACACGAATAGGCTGGCAGTTGTCCTTACCAGCTCGATTGCCAATATGTATTCACTTTAAGTTATTATAGTCTCTTCTGCATTCACTGATGACAACTATGAACTGATTTAACTGAAGGCACAGTACTACACTCCCTGGTTGGCCTTTATCACAGCCGTGACCACAACACCCTAAAAAATAAAATAAAATAAAAGCTTTGTCATGTGGCAGTGATTGTGTGGTTATAGGCCTGTGACCCTGGCTGCACCTCCAACTCGGTGGAAATTGAGTTTTCAAAAATACAATCGTGTCTAGCATGAAAAGTCCGACATCGATTTACACTTTCACCTCACTAAGACGATCTTGACGAACTTATGTAATCACTGTCCAATTTCTGCCGCTCTACATCGAAGGCCCGGATGCCGAACACGCTTTGTTACAGAGACGCAACACGACCCGCCGTTTACTGTACTGGTTGGTCTGTTAATATTGACTCAGTGAACCACATCACCAGTCAACCGAAGTCCCTGAAAAGTCACTTTTACAATATGTGTTTATGTTTGTCTTTTTACATTGTTTAAGTTTAGCTTGTTTGTCCACGTAAGCACCATGGTATAACCTTGACACGTGTGCCTGTCGGGATTGCATGCACTCTTGTCGTTGGGAGATTTGAGAATGAGATGTGGGGAGGAGTCGGTAACAATAAAAATAGAATAGAAAAAGGCAGCCCGATATAAAATAAATAAACTAATATATACAGTAGCTGTCAGTGAAACATGTTTTGGTGACATAGTCAGTCTTTGTATGGAATCTTCCAAAAATAAAAATATTCCTAAATTTCAAGACCAAATCCGTCTATCCCTCTTCAACTTGAGCATCTAAAGGGTCATAGCTAAGCTCCTCCTACATACAGTAAGTAACTAACCCCTCCTCCCCATAGTTTCTCCTCTAATGAACATAATTATGTTTTCCATGACGTCATACTTATTATCCCTATGATTGGTTTCTTCAAATCCCGACCTCCATATGTAACTTGATGACAAAACTCATGGTCCTTTTCAGGCACTTGTGTTACTGCATGAATCACGAAGGTAAGCATGAACTCCGCATGGTTCCTTGTTGGGCGCTGTAAACGCTTTCGCGCTTCGGCTTGTATAGGATGTAAAGGGGTGCCCAATAATCTAGCCCCCTTGCAGGGCAAATCTGAAATCTGACGTATACCTCACGTAAACTTGTAAAGGAACCCACGTGTGGCTCCAGGGCGCCCGTGCATGACCGTACATCACCGTGGGCCTCAACCACTTGAGTTAGGCCGTGAATGGTGTGTGCTATTGTTATGTAGCAGAGCTCAACTTAATGTTGCATAAAAGGTCACAGAGCCTCACAAATTGTGTTTCAATTCGGTAGTAGGTAGTAGGCAGCTACCAAACAGGGAGGTACTACCATCTGGGAAGATATTGGAAGCATAATGTGTTGTCTAATGGTAGACCCTGCTGCCATATGGCATCACAAAAATTTTGACCAAGTCTAGGGTTGCTGATCTGACTTTCTGCCTCATTTACACACAATTGCAGGGTCTCAATTGTTACTCTTACTATTAACAACACAACATACATATATCATTTCTCACTATTGATATTTTAATTTTTTGTTTTTGAATTTATTCATGGCTCTTTATTATTACAGGGGGTATTATTATTATTATTATTATTATTTATAATTTTTATAGACTTTTATTATTACTGTATGTGTATTTTCTTTTATTATAATTTTTTTTAAATATTGTTATTAATT